GTGTCTCCGAGTGTGTTGTGTTGCTGTGCTGTGGTCAGTGTATTATCATCAGTCACTTTTTAACACTCGAAGAGAGGAGTCCATTCTTTTTGTTGAATGAATCCAAGTTTTTTTTAGCATGGCTCGCTCGTCTTGCTTTATGGCAGTCTGTGCATGTGATAACTTGAACATTTTTTTTGCTTCAACAATCTGTAGGCTAAACATAAATCAACGTTTTACTAATGCGACAATTAATAGATTCTGATATTCTAGAGGGGGGCAACATGCCAGTTTGTCACAGGCCTCGACTATGCCCTGCTTGATGGAAGTTATCACTAGCACCCTCAAACAGAGTAAATGAATGATTAATTGATTGTATCATGAAAGGAACTTTATTCTCAACTGTTTGTAATGGAAAAACATTCATTGTTGAAATTTTACAGAGTAATTTGCTTTGATTTGCAAAAAAGAAAGGAACAAATATTGAAAAACACAATTTATAAATGAATATTATCCCACTCTAAGTTTATAACATACATTTCTGTACCCCCATTGTGACTGTGTGTTTTTTGCACTCATCCTTATAAAACCTTTTTGTTGTAAAAAATGACAGACGTTTATACTACAGCTTCGCAAATGCTTTGGACTCATTTACGTAAATGTTACTCTCCAGCTCTAAGTCCCTGACACAAAGAAGGCCCTCATTCTCCCTGTCTCCCGTCTGCTTTGTTTCGTGTATGTTACACCATGCCAGATAGAACTAACATACTCCTTGGAAAGAGCTTTATTTCTGCATAAAAAGTCTTACCTTATTTTTTGTTATGTGGTACTATTTTTTAAATATAGTTAAACATTTAATTTAATTTTGTTTTGGGGGGGTGGTGGTGGGGGGTTCTTTCACATCTTTATTCCTTTATCGGGATAGAACGATGGTAATTTTACTTAAATGTTTTCATATTTCTATGCATTTAATATATTATTATATTGTTGGTGGGTGCTTTTTACCCACAGATTGTTTTAAATGCCAGTGTAAGAAGTATTTTAAAAGAATCTTTAGAGTCGAGCAATGCTAATTCAAGTCTCTTCCTTTAGTCACATACTGTCAGCTTTTTACCAAACGTTTGTCTTTCTCGTCTTAGCCGCAAGCCTTGTGACAAAAGTTGAGCTGGAAAGTCTACCCTTGACCGCTCAGGGAAGGCTGGACCTGAGTGTTAGCTGGATCCCTGGTTATCGGAACGGGGAAACCACCTTCACTGTTGTGATCAAGGAAAAGGAAAGTCTCACCTCAGGAAACTTCATTGTGAAACAAAGACAAGCGTTTCAAGGTACACAATAGTTTGTTTTGAGTTTGTTTTTTTCTTACTGTACGTGTTGTTGTTGTTGGTCCAGTGATATGTAGACTTTGTCTATGTTGTTGTTGTTGTTGTTGTTGTTGTTAGTCCAGTGATATGTAGACTTTGTCTATGTTGTTGTTGTTGTTGTTGTTGTTGTTGTTGTTGTTGTTGTTGTTGTTGTTGGTCCAGTGATATGTAGACTTTGTCTATGTTGTTGTTGTTGTTGTTGTTGGTCCAGTGATATGTAGACTTTGTCTATGTTGTTGTTGTTGTTGTTGTTGTTGTTGTTGTTGTTGTTGTTGTTGTTGTTGTTGTTGTTGTTGTTGGTCCAGTGATATGTAGACTTTGTCTATGTTGTTGTTGTTGTTGTTGTTGTTGTTGGTTCAGTAACGTGTACCCCTTGTGCCTTTAGTCTGTGAGAGGTTGGCGGGTGCTCTGATGGGGTTTGCTCCTTCTTCCCTATCAAATATCCTTCGGTAGTTGAATTAAAAGGCAGAGAATTGTTTCGACTCCCAGTCTTTCGGGCTGTCACTCGCATTGAAAAATGCAGATGTAATAGCCTTTAGATAAGATAGGATAAGATAAGATAATATACTTAAAAATCCCAGAGGGAAATTTTTCTTTGCTGCACAGGACCATAAAAAGACATGCAGCTATATATATTTTTAAAAATAGATGAAAACACTCAAGGTCTGCTGTCTTGTTTGAACTTACAATCTGTGAATTTAGTGGTCAAAAGTAGGTTATAGTACTCTTCAAGACTGATGGCTGTGAGGAATAGATCTAAAACGTACTAGTGTTTTCTTTTTGTTGGTCAGCATGTTTCTCTGCTGTAGGTTTAAAAAAATACCCAACTGACTGGCATTACATTTGTCCCGTAAGTATGAGGTTAGGTTGGGAGCTGAGATTTGTACAAGTTAGACCTCGATTGATGTCATAATTTTGTTCTTTTGACAGATACATTCGACATTACAGCTGTCCAGTTGAGGTAGTTCAGTACAAAACAGTCCTTTAAGTGATATCAGCATTGTCTTGTTGAGATAATTCAGTACGAGTCCGTCATTAATTGTATTTCTTTTCACAGATAAATCTGGCGTTACCTCTGGCATTCTGAAGAACGTGCTTGGCCACTGGGTCTATGAAGTGACCGTTGAAGCCAAAACCAACGTGGGTGTCGCTGCTGTATCAAGTCCACAGACCATTACAACTTTATACAAACGTAAGTTGATGGGAAACTTGTCAGGAAAGATGGGACATTTTATTCTTCGAAATATGGAATGGGTGCATGCATTAAATCACATTTTCATATGAAAGATTGGATTGTATGTGTATTCAAATATCGACATGGGATGCAGTTTTTATACTTTTACAGTAGGTCCAAAAACAACCTAAATGTTGTCACCAAGAAAACCAACTCTTTGCAAACATCCTAGGTCGACATTTTTAAGAATACAATTTTGATAATCATTTCATTATTATTGTTGAAGCAAATGTTATTTTCTTGGCAACAGCATTCCGTTTTTTGGCTCTACTGTAAAACTGAAAAACTGCATAATATACTGCACTTTTAGAAAGGATGACAGTGTTGGGGTTATGTGTCCTTGGCAGACAAATTATTATTTATTCATTTGACTTTTAAAATACTTCTTTCGTTCTCTATGTGGTTGTCTGTAGATGAGTTCTCTTGGAGGTTTTTTTATAAGCTGCCATCTTCCATGCAAGATGTCCCAATCATTCGCGATGCATATTATATTAAATGTATGTTTTCAGAAAATATATTATAGTCTCAGAACTCCTCACCTTGCGAGAACTTCAGACCTTTTTTGTTTGCTTTATTTTATTTTAAAATGTTGTTTTTTTGTTGTTTTTTTTTGGGGGGGGGGGGGACCTGACCGGACCGTATGTGTCATATTTTCCATGAAAAAAAATGACTGTTGACAAAAACTATGGTCCCCATAAGAAGCCCTGGGAGCATGGGCGATAGATTCTAGGCGGTGTTTATTAAGCCTTGTTGTTCTTACTTCCCCCAGACCCAGGACCTGCTACTGCTCTGACGTTGACAAAGAGTACCCGGGTGGCGTCTGACGTCTCCCTGAGCTTTGGATGTCCCGAGGAAAGAGAAAGAAATGGCGTCTTGTCAGGCTTTTACATTTCAAAGTCGGACGGCACTAGGGACCCGGTGAGTACATGTTAATTTTGTTTTTGGTTTTGAGGATGGAAGTCAGGCTATTTGTGATTGAAGGAGGTGGGGGTTACCTGGTGTCTGGTGTTAGAGATTTAAATTAACAAGAAAATGGCTACGAAAGTTGGTGACTTACAACTAGAACAGCTGTTCTCATTTTTGTAATAAAAAAACAAAGAGAGAAATTGACATTCTTTTTTTCTTAGAGACATTACACTGTGCCTCATCAGTATTCATCACGTTGTCTAGAGTGTGCCACACCCTGATACCTCCTTCCACGCACCCCCCCATCCCCCCATCCCCCCATCCCCCCAACCATCACCCTACCCCCCCCCCCCCCCTCATGCACAAACAGATGTCCACAACTTTTTACTAAGAAATCTCCTCTGTTCATTCTTCCAGGTTGTTGAATTTGTTACAGCGACTTCCTGCGACAGTGTGTTCCGGCCATCTGTACAAGTTGTTGTTGGGGAGGGTCCGACGAATTACACATTCAAGGTCGGTACAATTAAGGAATTGGAGAACTGTCTTAGAAAAAAAAAAAGTAATAATAAGTAAGTATAATAGAGATACCATTTTTATAGCCCTCACCCTCGCTTGACAGCAAGCTCTGTGTTTAACAGTCTATTATAAATATAGTATTTCTTTACAATCTATAGTAGGATTAAAGTTACAAGTCTGTGGTGTATGCAAAAGGGAGAGTTGGAAAGGGAGCCTCTCAATACCCATTATCACAACCGACACTCATGAACATCATCAAATACAACACCTTGGAACAGTGGCTGAATGGATGGGCATTGGAAAAAAAATTGTAAGAGCTGTATTTGCACACATGACTGCCCCCAACTCAAAAGACTCGCTAAATTCTCTGAGTAGAAGAGAACAAGTCACAATCTTTCGCCAGTGAAAACAACACATCTCATTGAATTCCTACCTAAACAGGATCCGCAAGGATACCCCACCTGACTGCCCGTTGTGTGACTGCCAGGATGAAACAGTATCACACCACCTCTTTACCTGCCCTGCACTTAGGGCCTGCGTAGTACCTACCTACCTGTCTCTCCACATGTTGGAGATACTCTATGCAGCAACAAAAGGTAGCTGATAAACACCAGGAAATTCTTTGAAATTTCGACAGGCCGAAGGGTTAGATCTCAGATAGTCGCTGGATCGAAAATATAAAGTAAAGTAACAGTTCAACCGTATCCGTAAGCACTGGGGTCATTTTGTACCTCCGGGGTTGTATTCTTCACATTTTAGAATACTTATAGTACGAAGATCTCTTTGAAACTTTCAGTATTTCTCAAAAAATAATTTTGACAGTCTGCTACTCAAAGCATACGGATCGGATTAACGAATATGTTTCCTCTTTGGAAAGTGGTGGCACAGAGTTCCCCACGTCGTATGGATAGGATAGTAAAACACGACGTACAGATAGGGTTAAAAAAGGGGGGCCTCCTTTCCAGGCGGGCTCCAGTGTTCCCACGTGCCTATTCTATCCCTGAATGCCATGACGCTTGAACTAAGACTAACAATACATCTGATCTCGTTTTGTCAGCCTTAACCATGATTTTTTCAGGTGATGGCTTCAAATGGACAGTATAACAGCAGCTATGAGACGTCAGAAATTGTGATAAGCCCCCTACGTAAGTGAATTCAATTGGAGAATAGTATTCTTTTCAAAGTTGCCTTTTGTTAATACAACCCTCTGGTAATGTGTACTGTGGTAACGTCTGCTGTCACCCTCTGTGCCATGGTGATAGGTTCACGTTTTTCTCACAGCTCTTGCTACTGTGGTTAGTTGAGAAATGTGCATTCAAATTTGGATTCACGATTACCTAGAGGTATACAGCAAAAAGAACGGTGGGTAGAATCACTAGGTAGTATCAAATATACTGGTGTGTAATCAGAATACTGTATCCATTTTGATAAAATGCTAACTTGTTTGTTGCTTTTATGTTTATTGTTGGTACTTTTTAAAATAATTCGTAAGACATTGCGTTTGTTGACTAAATTTGAGAATTTTAAAAGTAGATGATTCTCTCTCTCTCTCTCTCTCTCTCTCTCTCTCTCTCTCTCTCTCTCTCTCTCTCTCTCTCTTTCTCTCTCTCTTTCTCTCTCTCTTTCTCTCTATCTCTCTCTCTTTTCTCCTCCTCCCCGTCGTCCGCATCCTCCACCCCCCCCCCCACACCCACTACACAAATGAAAGGGCATTGGAACCTTTTCCAGTAGTGAAATATCACTCCAGAACATCGGGTCGCTTTTAAGGACAATCGGGCTAACCCAGATTTTGGGGGTTTCCAGAAATCTTGACCTACACCAAAAGTGGGCATTGTCCTACCTGTAGGAGAAGTTTGGTTTCATTGGTATGTATATTTTTTTGGTTACAGAAAAAACTCCTTGTCTTTTAAAGAAACTAAACAAGGGGCAACAACTTTTCCTTCGATTTTCTCAAAACAGCATTTTTTGGGGGATAGCTTTCTTATGCTTAAAAGTGACCATCTGTACTCAGACAGCTGTGTGTGTTCTTTACTTTGGTCTGTTGTGTTTATTTTGATCGCCCCCCCCCCCCCCCCAACAGTCCCGGAAGTGAGTGAATACACGGCTACAGATTTCACAGCAGAGTCGTCTGGCAGCAAGAACACCCTGACGTCTTTCCCAGTGACTGTGTGTTTGACTTGTCTCAAAAATTTGAACAGCAGACAGGGAAGTTTGACGGAAGTTGTTCTCGCCGTCTGTAAGAATAAGTGTGGAGGCTCTGGGGCAGGTGAGCAGCTCCTGTTTTGAATAGTGAAAAGTTTTGGGAATAGAATTTTTTCCTGTATGGAAAAGTGAAAAGTTTTGGGAAAAGAATTCTTTCCTGTCTTGAAAAGTGAAAAGTTTTGGGAAAAGAATTCTTTCCTGTCTTGAAAAGTGAAAGGTTTTTGGGAAAAGAATTTTTTTTTCTGTCGAGTAAGGCGGTTGGGGTCACAACCAGAAGGTCGTGGCTTTGAATCCTACCAGGGGCCTGATGTTGTTTCCTTCGGAACGGCACTTTACACGAATTCTCCTACATTAATTCAGGTGGGAATGGATACCTGAAGATCTTGTTAGTATTTGAGCACTATTCGACTACTTGCACTGTAAGCTCCCAGGATATCCGTAACACACTTTTCAACATTTCCTACTGAAACTGTTCACCAGAAAACAAATTTCTACATAACGGGGAGGCTAAATAGAATTGTTTGATAATTTTGAAGAGCTCTAAGGTGGCTGTCATGTACCTGAAAATACAGTTTTTGGACAAATTGATGAAAAGCTTTGTGATCAAAGTATGAGCACTTTTGGAACTTTTCAATTCTATGTGACTTCACTGGCCTGTAATTTGACCGGTTATTTTGTAAACTGGCACTTTATCCGTCTGGCGGGATGTTGTATCCCACTCTGCAGGGTCGAATCTGCCCAACTCATAAATGGTGAAAATTGTGTCCATGAAGGTGTGGAACACATTTTGTCAAAAGTTATTTGGAGAATGTTTTTATTTTATCGATGTTCCTTTCTTCAACTTCCTAATCTGTTGTAAATGGTTTTCTCTTTGGATGGTTGGCGGGTGCTTTGTTGTGGTTTGCTCCTTCTTTCCTATGAAACATCTTTCGTCTTTATCTCCCCTCCTTTTTTGTGTTTGTTACTCTCTTTCTCTTGTAACACTTTTATTCTTCGGCACTTATATGAACTTATTGTGTTGCAAATGCCGAAAAACACAAACTCAAAAAACTCTCTTGTAACACCTCTATTCTTTGGCACTTATGTGACTTTATTGTGTTGCAAGTGCAGTAAAACTCTTACTAAGACTGAAACTAAACGGTTTTCTCTTTCAGCCCGTAGAAAGCGGGAAGTGGATGTGGACAGTTTGAAGACATGGGCCGAAGCTAAGAAGGAAGGATTTACTGACATGTACCGAGCCACTCCACGGGGCTGGCACCAGGATCTGTTAAGTAAGGCTGGACTCAGTTGTGGGGGAGAAAGAAATTTAGCTATATATCTATTCCTCCACAGTGGGTCAGGGGAAAGGATAGGCCCTGTAGACCACAATAGAAGGTAGGCTTCTTCAGTATAGAAGTGAAGTCATCATCATCATCACCGTTGCCTTTCTCACCCTGGATCAGGATATAGGCCACGAACACTTTCCACCTTTTCCTGTCCTGGGCTAGTCGCTTGATGTCACTCCGTGTTTTCCCACTTTTCTGTACTCTGTACGGGTGAAAAGACTAACTAACAAGGTCTGTGTAAAAGGGATTAAAGGGCCCTTTGAAAGCTGAGGCATAGGGGAACAACTTGAAGACATGGGGGCCGGATATTTTATGTGCAGAAGAAGCAGTCCATGATATAAAACAGAAACCAGTTTGTAAAAAAGTAACTTAATTCTGTGTTTGCAATTTCAAGTGAGCTGCTCATTGTGTTATATCAAGAATTTATGAATCAGTTTGGGAAATGAATCATTTTTACACAGGTCTTCTCAGCCCTCGTATTTGGTGAAACCCCCCCCCCACAAAAAACACATCAAACACTTTTGCATTTTATGTCATGTTTTTTTCTTCTTCCAGGAACGCCAGGGGGAGAATATGTATTCACAGTTGGGGAGAATAACTCATGCTCTGATACCGGCACTGACTTCTGCAATGGCCCACTTCCTTCTAGAGAAGACTTTCAGTGAGTTCTTTAACTGTTTAACTTTTTACTTTTTAACGTTTAAACTTTTTACTTTTATGTTTCCCTGGCAGCCTCCTTAAGTTCATAATGCTACTTGTCACCTGACCATTTGTGACATGGTGTCTCATCCGTTTCACTCAGATACAGTTCCTATGGGATTTATAATATTAGATGAAATCACGTATTTGTATTATACGTTCTCTGTTTTCTAGAAAGAATGTACACAGTTGTAGTGTACCAGCTTAATAGGAACAATAATGTCCCTCTAAAAGATCTCCCGTGTTGGGGTCAGAGGTTTCGGTGCTCGCCTCTAATTCAGTTTGTGTCTTTCTATTGAAGCCAGGAAGGGAGGGTTGGGGGGGGGGGGGGCTCTCGTGGCCTAGAGGTTAAAGTGTTCGCTTCTCATTCAATAGGCTCCGTGTTTGAATCCGGATAGAGACAGACAATTTTCTCCTCTAAAATGTTCTCCTTTCACCTCCTTTCCTGCTCTCTAGCAATGTTCTGTCGTCTGCTTTCGTCTCCACTTTTGCCCCCACCCCTCACCTCCTTTGCCCCCTCCTCTGGGCTCCTGACTCTTTCTGCAGCTTTCTACTGCTTCTTCTTGGCTCCTTCTTACTGCTGTCTTTTAGCTACATCCCTGAGTAGTAAGTAAGATCTAACACCTAGCCTTCTCGGATAAGAGCGAAAAATCTTGGAGGTCCCGTGTGCAAATTGCGCACTCTAAAGATGCCTTGGTGGTCAAAAATCTGCAAGAAGTAGGCTTCGGCTGCCACTGCGGCAAAATTTTGGTTTCATACCTACCGAAAGTGTTTAATGTGTCCTGTGCGCTCAAGTGACCTTATACAGTTGCGAGCGCCGTATGTAAAACACTTACCAAAAAAAAGGACCTGTGATGTTTTGACTTTTGTTTAGTTGGGTGTTGGTTTCATTCGTGAAAAAAAGCATAAGACCCGTCATGTTGCGTAATGGAGTACTTGTCCTTCATGTGTAGTGGGTTGAAAGGAAGTCTTCACGACAGGAACAACATTCTCAATGAATATAAAAAAAAATAACACCCGGAAACACTTTGTTTTGCAGATAGCTCACAGGTGAATAAAAACTTATGACACCTATCTCTAAATTAGTAATAAGGACACAGTCTGTGTGATATCATTACTGTAAAGGTGTGGGTGGTCGATATCAAATATAATAGACCACAGACACCTTAATATGAACACAAGACACAGAACACTACCGCACCATGTTGGTTCGCCGTTACTCGCCAAGTGCAATGACTCTTTTATTGAAGAGCTCTCATCAGGCATTAACAGTTGTTTCCCTTGGCTTCCATTAATCAGCCAAAACATTAGGGTAAAACCATAATATTGCAACAATTACTTCCTGATGCTGAGAAAGAATTTCCGTATAAAAGGAGCTGAATTACTGTGTGCTTGTTTCATCAACAGAGTCCTCCTTATCGTGTGCAACGGCGCTGGCTGTGTGGATTGCTTAAACGATGATTCTGTCTTTGGAACAACACCTGACAGTAACGGTTGGTGGATTTTCTCTAGCTGGATTTTCTCAGGTTTTAACTTCTTTCTCCTGCTCCGAACTTTGAAAGCTTCTATAGTGACTTACCACTTCAATGTCCTTCAGCATGGGCTGTCTAGTTGTTGTGTATTTATTTATATTATGAATGTACTGCAAGCAAAATTGCTGTATGGAATCGATTATTGTGGAATTTTATTATTTTAAAAAAAGTTTTTATTTCTGTTGATCTAAGTTTCTTCTGTTTCAGTACCATGGACAGGCCTATTTATTCCACCCTCCTTTGACATGTTTCATCACCAACGATTATGAACTGCCCACTTGCAATTAATTTTTTGTGACCAAAAAATGTCTTTTCTTATGAACCTGACATCCTGGCAAGCAAAGCCAAGAGTCAAATCTACAATTGTACCTTTCAGTTTCAGTCTCATGCCACGAACGCCATGTTTTCCCTCTGTTGAGTTTCACAAGAGATAGTCCATGTAGATCCACTATCAGCTGACTACAGGAGTATCTGTTTTAAAAAAAAGAAATACGGAAGCCCTCTTCTGGATGAAAGAAAAGGCACTTTATCTGTTTGCTGACGTCAACAATACCAGACAATCGTGAGAAAATCAGCATCCGGGTGTCTCCTGTATTTTTCTGACCTTTCTGTTTCTACACTCGCATAGTAGTTTGTTGATGATTTGTCAAAAGAAGAATTAATACGATACTTATTTAAAGTGTCCAAGTCTTGTTTTGATTTTTACTTGTCATACACATGTTTGTTTTGAAAAGTGGTGACACTGATTAATCAGAATCAGGTTCAGTATTTGTGGAGTATGAGCATGGTGGACTTTTATGGATAATAATATATTTTGCTGTAACGGGGGTAGACTACGTATGGGTTGTATCATTGACGGTTGTATTCTATTTTTTTTTGCAGTGGACAGTGACGATGGCAATGTTGTTGTTTTTGTCTTGGCTGTCATCTGCTCTGTGTTGGTTGTTGGGATCATTTTGGCCGTCATTTTCTTTGTTTGCCGACGTAGAAGGCAGAAGCATCACAAGTGAGTTCAAATGAAGTCAACCGTGACAAGGGATTCTACCATCTTAGTTTAAAAAGAAACAACTAACCAACAGTAGCTAATGACATAAAAGTTACCAGCTTTCGTCTGCTGTGATAGGTAGGTAGGGAATCAGGTCATCACATGACGTCTACACCTCTCATGAAGAACATTTACCTACCCAAGTACAATCAGGAGAAAACTAAAAACCACAGTATGTCTATTTCTCTCTACTGTCTCAACTACTCTTTCGATGATGTAGCTTCAAAGCTGTATCTTAGACTGTAAGAGCCAAGAAAGTATGACAGAGATAGACTTCTGTACCAGATAAAGAATTTAATGGACGGTAAAAGTGAACGTTATCAACAGTGTTCCTTCTTCTGAGGAAAATGTTGCTTCTGACACAAAGCAAAGTCAAAATATAGCAAGTTTGGAATTTCTGGGGTTTGTTTTGGTTTATCTTCTTGATTATAAACCCTTTTGGTCTCAATTGAAACTACTCCCTTTACATTCCGTCAACACCTGATATATTTCATCTCTCAGTGTGGTCAATTTCAATACCACCCGCCGTTGTATACTCTGAAATATGAGTGGCAGGGAGGAGATCAAAAGCAGACCTCCTCCCTTTTAACCGTCTTTAGCTGTCTATCGATATCGATGTTGATTAAAACAGTTTGCGAGATACAGCTTTGCCGGGGCAGTAGATAAAGATGAAGTACATAGCCCAAGTACTACTTCCCTCCCTTGGGGTCTTGACTTCCTTGTTGCTCAATGCTGGAGTCCAGGAAGGTGAAGGGTTGTGATAGGGATGGTTTTTTCATGGAGGAATATTTTTACATTTTAAATTCTGCCCGGCTGGTCTCCTAACTGCCTCTTAACCACTGATCAGACAATATTCATGTTTGTTTATTGGGATAACTTCTCCTCTGTCTTGTGAGGTGTAAAATGGAAGGCTTGGTGCCGTAAAAAAACCCTCAAAAAGAGATCGTCTGATAACCTGTGCCCTTGGTAAGCAGCTGGCAAATCTTGAGAAAAGAATCCCAACATCCTGGTTGCACTATTTCATCGTTTGTCTCTCCCACGCCTCAAGGTACAGGCCGTAAATAGTTGACAACTTTGAGCATACCATGAGTGTTTACGCCCGTAATGGACTCAAGTTTTCTTCTTCAACCACGAGTTTCTTCCTTCCTCTAGAAATACATGCTTTGGCTAGTAATTTGCATTTCTGTTTTGTAAATTATTTAAACCTCAATTAGTAGACTTACAACATTTCCTTAAATATGCCCAGAGGGTAAATTCAGGATCTTTACACCAGAGATCAGCTCCCCACCCTCTCTCCTCTGGACATTCTGTACTTAATATGTTGCTATGCCGTCATGTAAATCCATGAGCCTTGATTTCCTCTACTCTGAAGTTGGCAAATAAGTGAAGTTTTGTCAATAACCAAAGGAGGAAGGGAATGTAGCCTTCTAAATAGTTTTCTATGGATCTATACACAGCAAAGATGCAGTATTATCCAGAAAAAGATGTTCCCAGTTTTTTTATTGACATGGTCTGACTTCTCTGTGTTTTTGACTTCTTTGATTTTCTTTCATGTTCTTCTCAAAGGGAAACAAGACCTGTGGAGCTTGACACCCTTGAGGAGAAAGAGATGATCAAAACACGAAGGTGAGAAAAACATTTACTTCAGAACTATAGAAGAGGAGGAGTTGATTTTTTGGAAATTTTGTCTTTGATTTAGAT